TTCGAACCCGGGACCCCGCTTACCGTGGGCGACGAATCGTAACCACTCGGCCATTTCGTTACCTTAGAATGTTCCTTAAACTGAGAAAAGTTGTCTTTATAGGTGAGCAAACGCGCCAGGAAGATTACTGGGTCCATTTGCTTTACCTTAATGGGTAAAAACAAGTCGATATAATGAGCCCAGTGTGTTTGGTTTGTTAGGAAGCTGCATAACACAGCCTAATGTCCAAAACAGTCGTGTGCTAGGCGGATCATTACGCAACAATGAACACCGCAATCGTGTATTTTCAAAAGGCAGACGCGTAGATTTCTACTCTTTGTATCTGGGCACATATAGATTCTCACCTCCCTCTTCAGCTATTTCGACTTTCTTAAAAAGAAAAATAGAGACTGTCAGCGAATCTCCTGGAGTTGAAATAAGGATCGTCCCCTCGATAGACCTCAGACTCAGTAAAGTTTAACATTGGGCTCTTTCTCAACAGCTGTTTTTGCGGAAACTTTACATCTGGATTTTTTAGAAGCATCTGATTTTGCCCAATTTTAGTAAAATATGCTCCAAATTTTGCTAAAAAGCAAGGTTAACCCCTTACCATTTTATATTTTTCATACAAATCTGATTTTACCAAATTTTACTAAATATACAAGGTACACCTCTTACAATGTAAAGTTTTTCATAAACATTTCTTTTTGCCCACTTTTGCTAGAAATACAAGGTTAAGCCCTAACAATTTGATTTTTTTTCATGAACATCTAATTTTTCCCAATCTTATTAAAAAAGCAAGGTTAACCCCTTACAATCTGCAATTTTCCAGAAACATTTGATTTTTTTCCCCATTTTCGCTTTAAAACAATGCGAGGTTAACCCCTTTCAATTTGAAATTTTTCGTAACATCTAACTTTGCAAAATTTCACTAAAAAAGCAAGGTTAATCCCTTACATCTGAAATTTTTCGGAAACATCTGATTTTCCCCAATTTCGCTGAAATATCCAATGTTCACCCCTTACAATTTGAAATGTTTCATAAACATCTAACCCCATACAATCTGCAATTTTCCAGAAACATCTGATTTTTCCCAATTTTACATTCAGCTGATGCTAACAAATTATCAGGTAACTGGATCATTAAACGGGACAGGTGCACATCGGCCTTGGAGCTCAGACCATGTGTCATGCACTCCTGATCCTCAATGCTTAGATGATGCACATAACACTATGGGTAGTACAGGCACAGATGGGGGTACTGCCCAAACAATCATGAACGCATTGCGTATGCTTAAAGAATTACCCACAATTCCGGTTTTTACCGTTTTGGTCTGGCTCTAATCACTTTACGCGATCCCCTGACGTCTCATACACTGACTTTAGGCAAAATAGTCAGACTTTCGCGGTCAAGTAACCAGACTTTGACTCTTAAAGGGAAAATACAATTTTTGCAAACATCAAAAAATAAAACTACCAAATCATTTTGAAATACCTTGCTGGACTGTTAGTGAATGACAGTGTAAAGCATCCTGTAAAATCATGGCACCTGGTATACTGTCATTTTCAAGAAAAGTGGTATTTTTGTATCAATTTCCAACGCTGATCGGCCGATCAGCGTTGGAAAAAACTGGCCTTTTTTCAAATACTGGCCCCAGTTGACAATCGCACTTGTTTGCAATCGATTAAACACCTATGAACGGGTACAAGCCAGCTAGACTGGTTCCCTGACCTTACAATTCCCCAATGTATGTAAACTGCTCTGTTTCTTCTTAAATGGAGTCAGGGAACCAGACTACAGGAAAATGTTTGTTTTTCTTGGTTTTTATAGCATTTTTGAACCCAAAACCTCAAAAAAGTCAGTGTAACTATATTTGCTATATATTTCCAATCCCCCAATTTCATCCATTTCTGAAAATTACAGCAAAAAGCAAATGATGTATCAAGAAAAGGGACGGAAACATCAAATGCATATTGCAAAAAATCGAATGCAAACATACCGATGAAACATCGAATACAAATAGCTCGAAATGTCAAACATATGTGTACATTGCTCACATATTTGAGAATATCGCAAATATATTGTAAAACAACACACACAATTGTATCGAAAAACATCGCACATTTAATGCAAAAAATCGAACATAATATTGAAAACATCGCACATATATATCGTCAAAAACATCGCACATATAAATTGAAAATCGCATATAAATGTAAAACATCGCACACACATATTGAACATCGCACATATATTGTAAAACATCGCACAAATATATTAAACATCGCGCAAATAATGAAAAACATCGCACACTTATATTGAACATCGCACATAAATGTAAAAGATAACAAGCACATATTGAACATCCAACATATATATTGCAAAATATTGAATATTGCAACGTTTGACACGCCATACTTAAGGGCCCGAAAAAAATTGGATTCTAGATGTTCTGTGGTGTGATCTGAAGCAATTTCTTACCACTTTCCTCCATGCTTTAGCTAATAATTTCTTAGCAAAAGATAATTATTTGAACATCGTTTTCGAGATTGGAGTCATTGAATCAGCTATCGGTATTCTGAGCTATAGGCGTGGGGTTCGGGGCCCGCTTAAGGGCCCCGAAAAAATTGTATTCTCGATGCTCTGTGGTGTGATCTGAGGCAATTTCTTACCACTTTAACCAATAATTATCTTAGCACAAAAGATAATAATTTAAATATAATTTTCGAAGTTTTCTCAGCTAAAGGCATAAGTAAATTTTTTGAACATTGTTTTCGAGGTTGGAGTGATTGAATCAGCTACCAGAATTCTGAGCTATAGGCGTGGGGTTCGGGGCCCGCTTAAGGGCCCCGAAAAATTTTGGATTCTAAATGCTCTGTGGTGCTATCTGAGGCAATTGCTGACCACTTTAGCCAGTATTTTCTAAGCAAAACACGAGTTCAAAAATCTGGGGGGGGGGGGGGGGGGACATTTGATATCGTGTCCCCCACCCTTCAAAAAGTGGGGGGGGGGGGGGGGGGGGAGGGGACCAGTCCCCCTGTCCCCCCAGGATTGACGCCCATGGCGTCATGTAGATCAATGATAATTTTTTTAGAAACTCAAAATCTCAGTGGGGGGCGACTGGGGGGGGGGGGGCGACAAGGTTTTATGGGGGGCGGTCGCCGGGGTGCATTTTGTGGTGCTGGGCAAGGGGGATGGAGGGGGACCCATACTTTACATGAAAAAGTGTTACATCGGCATAATGCGTGGTACGGGTGTGATGATTCCTGGCGTGACCCTGACCCCCTTCTCACGCGATTCAGTTGGTGGGGCTTAAGAGTTGCAAGCAAAAATGGCGCTGGAAAGCTTCAAGGGAGGACATTACTTTTTACAATGGATACAGGATGGTAATACGTTTGAAGAAGTTGCAGATATCTGAAGGAAATTGGAGTTCGGCGCGGCTCTTCAGTAGCCAGTTCGAAAACTATGTCGTGAGAACGAAATGTGAGGAGGGTAATTTGGGTCCCCGGCAATGACTCGATCCCATGAGGACGCATTAACAATCCTAGGTGCATTGCTTAATTGCCGAACCTAAATCAAAAAATGGTCGACAGGACTATTGACCGTTTTTCATTGTCATGTTCTTTTAAAACAACACTCTGAAATGAAGCAACTAACCGTTTATCGCTTTCAACAATTAAGAAAAACAACAAAAAGGTCATTGTTTTTTGTGACCTAATACCGTTTGACCGTTTTGCATAACTGTAAAACGAAAAAACGGTCAACGGTGCGTTAACTGTTTTTGTTTTTGAGGAAACGAAACGATGACCGTTTTGTCGTTTTACAGTTTTGTAAAACGGCAAACGGTATTAAGATAAATACGATTATTCCGTTTTATCAGTTTAGTAAATTTCATTACAGCATAACGATCAATGATTTTTGTTTTACAGTTTTACACAAATAAGTTTGATAAACAGCAGAACGGTCAGTATTGAATACAGACTGTTTTTTATTTCAGTGTCATAGTTAACAGTCCGTGGTGCATTTTGCGGCAGTGGGCAAGGGGGAGGAGGGTGGAGGGGACCATGCCGTGCACGAAGAAGTGTTACCTCGGCATAATTAATGCGTGGTGTGATTCCTCGCGTGACCTTGACCCCCATCTACTGCGATTCAGTTGGTGGGGCTTGAAGAATTGCAAACAAAAATGGCGCTGGAAAATTTCATGGAGGAAATTTCAGAATAGTTACAGGGTGGTAAGACGTACGAAGAAGTTGCAGATATGTTGAAGGAAATTGGAGTGGCCAGTGCGGCTCTTTAATAGCCAATATTCTCAAATTCTGTCGTGAGAACTAGAACGACATAAATGTAAGGAGGGCAATTTGACAGGCAGTGACTTAATCCCAAGGACACATTAATATTCCAAGGTGCCGCATTGCTATAATTGCCAACTTAAACCTGAATAAAAAAATGGTCGACAAGACTATTGACCGTTTTGACATTGTTATGTTTTTGTAAAACAACACTCTAAAAATAAAGCAACTAACCGTTTATTACTTTTTACAATTTACAAAAACAATAAAAAGGCAATTGTTTTTTGTGACTTAATACCGTTTGACCGTTTTACAAAACTGTAAAACGACAAAACAGTCGATGGCTAGTTTACTGTTTTTGCTTTTGAGGAAATCCAAAACGGTAAAACGAAATAACGGTATGTCCCGGGATTATTATTAAAGGGTTGGAGTATTTTCATTTTGTTGCCTTCTAATCTAAAAATAAAACCAGACGTGAATCTGAACTACGGGACGAACCATAACATAAGCCACGTCTATAATTGGCATTTTGGGCTATCCCAGACGAAATCGACTGTTCTTCGTTTTCTTATCTTCGTGTTGTTGGTTTAATCTGAATCATCAAATCAAATCAAATCAAACCAAACCACACAAAGTCGGGGCTTGATTTACTAGCGCTGCAATCTATTGGGTGAAAAAGCGCCCTCTTTTGTTTCCACCCAGCGTTTAAGCTCATTATCATAATTAATTGATCGAGCGCAGGTACCGCCGTACCGTAAAAATTTATATCGCTCGCTCGAGTTCTACATGCATGCACCGAACTAGTCACATATTTTCAAAGAGGTCTGCAACATGGGGGACGATATGGAACGGGTAACGTGGATTATTTTCAATTTATTCAGTAAAGGTTTAAACCGTTAGATTTGGGATGGAATTATTTGCCGTGTGTGCTGTTTGCAGGTGGTTGGCTTTTGACCGCTTGCAATTGCAAATGAGTTTGTTTGCACACACCACACACGCACCGTATGCTGCATGACCATGTGCGCGCTGCACAATATTATTCTTTTCATGATAACCATAGCTGAATAGTGGGCCAGCTTAGGCCAGATCCGATTCAGTTAATTTACAGACATATAATGTACTAGCCAAAGTTTTGACTGGCATTGAATAATTCATTGTCAGCTACAGACTATTCTGCACTTGACTACAGACAGACGGACGTAAATTGTAGTGAGCTCTCTCAGTATATCTTTCTAGTATGAAATTGTTTTGTTCTAATTTACATGTGGGAAAGAATGTCATGAATGTGGAGAAAGATTCCCGTATCTGGCCATCACTTGTCACCCTGTGCACAAACCCTATGACTATGAGACTGGTCTGAAAATTTCTACATGTTTTCTCATATATTTTCCCTGATTGCGACATTTGACTTTAAGACATCACTTTCTGATGGCTGATATTAGTGATGGCCAGATATGGGAATCTTTCCGGTAAATCTACTTTGTAGTCGTTCACTGGATTATTATAAGATACACATGAACAATTTTCATCTGCCTTATTTTTTTTTTGTGGGATTGAAATTGCAAATAAAAATGGGGAAAGGAAGAACGTGGGGAACCGAGGATGGGCCCTGCAAAAAAATGAAGTGACTTTCACTTTAAAATCAAGTAATCCTTTCTCCACTCAATCAAACTAGTGTGATAAAACAACGGGAAAATTCGGCTAACCGATCACCACTTACCTGCTGCCAAACATCCAAATTTCCACCTCACCTTGTGATTTCAACAAAGAGGAATCCGGGAAAAAGTGGACATGCGAAAAACATTTAGTAAAAATGTGTTTTTAGAGCACATTTTGCGTGCACATGTACATGTAGTGCAGATCTGAGTTGAAGCAGCCGGTCAAAACTGATTGAAGTGTCTGGGCCAGCGGTACATTATACGCATGACATCGATAACTATGACGTCGCATGAGCCGGCCAATGATAGTGCAATACGTCATTATGAATATTTATTTTCTCATGAATATTTAGTTTATTTCAATGGATACTTCAAATACGTCCAAAGATTGATCATTGCAACAACGATCGTGCGCGGCCTAGCAGTTAAGAGTCTCGTGTATCAAGCCAGCGTCCGAGGTTCGAATCTCGATGAAGTAAGTGACTGATTGATAAATGGAAATTAAGAAAAGGAGAGGGTGAGAGTAGAGGAGGGAAAGTGGAGAGAATAACCATAAAAGATGTAACTTTTGGCGCTAGAAAATTAATTGAAAAAAAGTGGTGATCGGGTAGCCAAAGTTTTCCAAAACAAACAACCTGTTTTGATGGTTTCATCACATCCTGAATATAAATATTCCATTAATTTCCAGACATTTCACATTCCTGTGGAGAAACTCTTGGACAAGCATACGACTGTTTCGGAAGATGTGAAACGAAAAAGAGTGAGTTAGTCTCTATTTTAATCCAGATAATGAACAATAATAATAATAATCTGCATTTAAGAACGCTCTTATTAGTAAACTAAATCATAGCGCTTACAGTATTACCCCTGATCATTGGGCCAATTAAACATTCCAAATACCATCTCAGCTCCCTGGGGAGTATACAGCTCGATGCTGCCTGTTAGGCGCAAGCAAGCTTATTCCATCACAATAACCATCTCTGCCCTCCCAGGTACCCATTTACTCCTGGGTGGAGAGAAGCAATGACTGACAAAGTGCCTTGCTCAAGGGCACATGCACCATGACCCCCGGCTGGACTCGAATCCACAACCTGCGGGTTGTGGGTTCGACTTTACCCACAGACCACGAATCCAGTGCCCTTAACCACGAGGCCACAGCACTACATGAACATCACAAGGGAATTGACAAACTAAACCATGGGAATAGAACCCCGCTCAAATTTGCTTGGTTTGTATTTGGTAGGCCTGGGATACTTAGTTACTTGGGGGAAAAAGTAATAATATTGACCTCAAACAGTAGTCGGTTTGGTTAACACAGCTTAGTACAGAAAATGTAGCTTTTAAACATAGCAAAACATCAGCTGGAAACAGTAATTTAAATAGACTTGATGTGCATTTCCCAGTCAGTAACAGACAATACCAACTACAGTTGCTTTGTGTTAATAAAGGGATTAAATAATGTGAATGTGTTTTTTTCCATATACATGTACATGTATGCAAAATGCATTGTGCAATAAAAGAAACAAACTTCAAACCTGCATTTTATGTAAATGGCTGTTTTATATAATTGACCGGTGAATTCACCAATGACATGGAAGGTAATTTACAACCTATTTTCACTTCTGTCACATTGATGTATCTTGTTTCTCTATTTAGCAAGAATACAATTGGTAATTTAATAGTTTTGGTGTGGCATATTAATGAAACAAAATATTGACGAAAGACACACTTTGCAAAATGAAGTGGAAATCCAATTGAAATGCAGTTGTGCACTTCAACAGGGAATTCGTTTTCATTTAATAACAGCAGGTGACTTCTATTTTCTCAGATCAAGGCAATATGTACTGCCATCACCATCGAATCGGGCAGTGCCATCACCGTGCAATACGACATTCATGACAACGGGACCATCTCCTTCAGAATACATGGACCTATGGATAAAATCAGCATCGTTATAGGTCTCCTGGAACGGCATCTCAAACAGGTTTGTCCAAACAGCAGAACGTGCTGTGTATTTTGGGCAGGGTATACATGTACTCTGTATCAACTTTGCTCAGATTTTCTGGGTTTGTAAATCTTGGGTGGTGTAAAATCTCAATGTGACCTCAAAAGGTAGTCTGTTGCTTTGAAAACCCAGAAATGTTGCTCTGCAAAGTTGGTCACTTTGCACAAATTCAGCTTGGAGTTAGTCATAAGCACAAACTGTATGCTTATAGCCAGCTGGTGAACCAAATCCAACTTACACTTCCTATAATTGGTGTTCGGGATTTTTTTCTGCAATTTGGGCTTGGCTAACAAAGCTTGGCTAGCAAGACATGGTGTTAAATGTGTTTCTTGCGCCCCCCCCCCCCCCTTATCTCTAGTCAGTCTGGTTGGCTATAAGTGCTAAGTTGGCCCGCAGAAAATGTTCAGTACTCTGGGCAAGTACCGTATTTCCAGTAAGTTTGTTAGTTGTGGTTGAAAATATCATAATGCATGAACAATGCACACTGACAAACTTGACTGATCAACAGGAAACTGGTAATGTACAAGGTTTTACGAATTGTGTCAAAATGTGCATGCATGACTAGTGACGGCATGATTTGGACTAGGCCAAAAAAAAAATACTTCTGCTTCCGGTTACCCGACCGACACCTATTTTTAGGCTGCGACCCTAAAAATTTAGAAGACATGATGAAAATGCGGTAACCAGTCTGATAGCGCCAGCATGGCTGTGCATTGCAGGCCGGTGTACTGTCAACTGGAGTCGGATTCGACATCGTAAAAATGCCAAGAAAACACCGATGGAGAAAGAACATTTTTGCAAGTTAATTCACAGAATTGATCTAGCTTGTCTGTGTATGAATTTTCCGTGTTTAAGAGTTATTTTGAGATCGCACTTCTCATATATTGGAGTGATACAATGCAGCGTGTTTCCCGAAATGTTCGACCGTAAAAACGAGGTCTGTCGGCCGCAGGCCACACATGCACAGTGCATCACACACTTCAGAGTTTTGGCCAGCTTCCCGTCTTGACAAGCATTGTGCATATGGTGCGAACGACCTGAATTTTCCATTATTTTTTAAGAATCATCGAACCTAAATATATTGACGATAATAAAAGTAGGTTTTATTCACTTTTTGTGGCCATTTTGTGTATAGCTTTCGTAAGGCAATGGAAATAGTTCAGGCTAAAACTTCGCATAAAATCGAATACCCCATTCAATCTGCATAAAATTCTGACCAACCGACCCTATTTTTGAAAGGCATGTAATCGAAAGCAGAAGTATTTTTTGGGCCCTACCACTGTAACTGGTGTGCTTTTTCGAAGAAAAAATGAGATAATTAAAACGTGATCTAATGCAATGTAATGATAATGACAAGAAGGGTGAGGTAATTCTGGTTTGATCTGTGACATTTCTGACAGTGTCAACAAACAATCCATTGCACTATAGTACCAGTAGAGAGCCACACTTTTCACAAAACAAGTGCTTTTTTGATAAAAAGTTTGCTGAAGCTGAAGAAGCCTTTTGTGAGAGTTGTGAACTCAGCAGACCCCATGAATGGGGATCCAGGGTTCTCTTTGTTGTCCAAAATCAGCAACGCCCAGTCTAACCATGGCAAAGGGTTTTCATAATTGCTCATGCGTGATGTCTACCCTACTGCTTTTTGTGGCATATTTGCTCTCGGATATGCAGTCTATATGAAATGAAACATAATTTATGAACAGTTTTATGTACAGGAGGTCTTTTGGAAATAGACTGAAATTTTATACTTACCTGTACATATTTCATATCAAAGTTTTGAATAACTCCAACTGACATAACTGTATTTTTTTTGGGGGGGGATGTGAACATCAGTTTATTTTTTACAATGGCTCTATTTATGTTTTTGTCATTACAACTCTTGTTTAATTGTATAAAAAAACCTCTTTTTAGAGGGGAGGGGTGACAGCATGGCAACATGAACCCCACCCCACCCCAAACTTGCCGCTGATAGTTGCAGGTGTTGTCATGGCAACATTTTTTGCTCCAACTCACAAGTTGTGTCTCTCACAGGAGCGTCGTCAAGAGCGGAGCACCTTGCCCAAGAACGTGGCCCCCTTGACGGTCGACAACCTACGCACCCACAATCATACCATGATGGAAAAAAGGGAATTTGCCTGCCAGCCCTGTCAGAATGTCTGGTGGAGAAAGGTCTTTAGCTACAAGCCTGTGTCCAAGTACGGAATTTTCTCAAAAATATTTTTGTTTCAAAATGAAGGAACTGGTCTTTCTAATTTTAAAGCTGTAAACCTTGGCAAAGTCGGATTGTCATTCACATGTGTTACAACAGACTGATTTGGGTACAGAATGCTGAATCTTAGGGATTGCGTGTGGCAAACTTGAATAATGAGTTGTATTGCTCTTTGCTAAAGGTGTTCCCGCTGCCATGTGCTTTACAACGCTGTGCCCATGGACAAAGTCTTTGGCTGGGGGAAGTTCACTTGCCATTGTGGAAACGTTTTCTTTGGACGTGCACAAGCTGGAGTCCCTAGTATCTGCTACCAGTGCCATGCCTCGGTAGGTGTCTGTGTCAGTCTGTTCATCTGTTGCTTAACAGAGGATCATCTTAGCATTCCTTTGAGTGCATGGCTGTTCACCTCCGTTGTTGCATTCATGCATTGAAGCGTAGGTCTATATGTCCTTGCATCAATCAGTGGCATAACTGAAGGGGGCATGGTGGCAGTAACTGAGCTTCGTATGTTGCAATTTGTTTTCGACTTTATCAGCGTAAAAATTATTCCAGACCCTAATCCAAGCCAGAAATAAAACTGAAGTTCTGCTTCTTATTAACTGCTATGTAGATCTTTGGTAGAAACATCCAGCAGAAACTGTGTATTGGGTACCATGCAGCATATTTTAAGTCTTTTGATCTTCATAATATACTGGTGCCTTGTGTAATTCCTTCTTCCATTCTAAAATTTTTTATATGGTGTTCAAATGTCAGTGACTCAAATTGACTCGAGCATAAATTTGACTCGACTCGACTCGACCGCACACTGTGACTCGACTCGACTCAACCTTCTTGACCTAATGACTGGACTCAAGTCACTTCCTTTATATGGTGTTCAAATGTCAGTGACTCAAATTGACTCGAGCATAAATTTGACTCGACTCGACTCGACCGCACACTGTGACTCGACTCGACTCAACCTTCTTGACCTAATGACTGGACTCAAGTCACTTCCTTGAAATAACTCGACTCGACTGAGTCACAAAATTCAGCGACTCGTTAAAACTATGGACTCATTTTTTTTTTCATTTGCAGGTCTTGCCTGATGTGGGCAGCATAGGTCCCATGAGAATTAATGGCCCACGCCAGAACACCAGGAACCGTCATGCCTGCGATCTCTGTGACAACGGCCGCATTCAACCCTGCCCTGGCTACAACAAGGTCCTGTGCCCGAGTGTGCGGCACGTAAGCACCGGTTCAACAGCCTCCACATTCCTGACACAATCCAGCTATGCTTACAGGGAACCAATGAACTAGGTGTGGGAATGGGTAAGACCTAGCTGTTCACTTTTGTCTGTGGTTGCAAACCATTGACCTCTTTGACTGGCGGACAATTAATGCTGGTGAACTGAAGCAACTGTCCACCATTTTTGTTCCCCCATGACACATAATTTTTCTCCAAAGATTGCGCATGCTCTTTCATATAGATCATTAGAAACCATTCGCACTCACAAATTCTGAAATTGTTTTGAATTAAAGACAATTGACACCATTTGCAAACATTCAAAAATCAAACTCAAAGTATCGTGAAACATCCTACAATCAAGTAAATAATAGGGTCAAGCATCCTGTGAAATCCTTGCGCCTGTTATGCTGTCATTTTCAAGAAAAGAGGAACTGCCCTCATCTCATTGCAATGGTTAGGACCAAACCATCTCATTTTCAGTGGAAACCTATGTTTGCGTCGAGAAAAATGTATTTTCCACAATTTTCTTTAAAAAAAATTATATGTTAACTACTGCACTGCAATTTTTACAAGTTACCTTGTTAATAACCTGCTTCCGATTTATTGTATTAATTGTTCCTTGAATTGGCAAATGAACACATTTTTGCAAATTGTGTCAATTACCTTTAAAGTGTTTTGAGGAAACTGTGATTAACAACACACTCATTGGAGAACAAAGATGGTGGCAATGCTGTTTCCATTGCATCAAATCACATAAGTGATCACGAGTCCAGTTATAGTACAGAGGTCAGTGTTTAATACAAATATATTCTGGCGAAATGAGATTGAACTGGGCACAGGCCATAGCGGAGAAAAATGGTGGGAAAAACAAAAATGGGGATGAATTTTTTTATGAATTTACAGATTTATTGATATTTGTAATCTACACATAATTTAAGAGAAATAGTATAAAAATCGTGGAATAACAATTGGCGGCGTCATTTTCACAAATACAAAACTCAAAAAATTAAGAGGCCTTTTCCTCATTATTTTGCCGTCTTGACATGTCCCTAAATGTGAGATTTAATCAGCCATACCTTGTCAACGGAATGTCCAATTGAAGTGCAACAAACAGTATTTAAGTAGGCTTGCGCGGTTCCGGCGGTTCCCGGTTCTAGCCGATTCCAATATGGGAACTGGAACTGTGGGTCCAATATTTTCAAGAACCGGGTACCCGCTATCGTCGGTTCCGGGCCCAAATGAATCGGTTCCAGATTAAATTACCTATTTTCTGTGCACAAAATCCAAAGCCGAGAATCGGCTCCACAGAAAATCGATCGCGGAGGCGCGGCCCGGGACATTCACTCGAGCCGGCTAGTCAAAACAATATTTCACGAGTCAGAGACAACACTGAGCTCAACAGAGCCCTTTTTGAATTTGCGGTCGGTCCCAAAGTAAATCATTCTATTCTCGGCAGCATTGCGGTCATCGCGGTAAATAAAATCATAGGCAAGGAACAGAAAATAAAGTAATAAACGCTAAGCTTGCTTTCAAAAATAGTTTCACAGGAAAAATTCATGATTTGAAACCAAATACCTAGTGGAATATTCATGTACTCCACATCAAAATCCACAAAACACGGACCTCTCAAGGTGAAACTGTTATTCTTTATATGTAATTTCAAGAGCTTATATTTTTCATTGAATTTTCGTGAGCCGGTTCCGACTCAGAACTGGTTCTTTTTTGAGAACTGGAACTGGCTCCAGAAAGATTGGAACCGCCCAAACCTAATTGTAAGGAGGATTCGATTGTCTTTCGTGATACATGTACCTACAAACCCTCATTTCAACCTCTGCCCAGTTCTATCTCATTTTGCCAGAACGCCTCACATATTTCCTGTAACCATAGCTGTAGCCGGAGCTACAAAAGGTGTACCCACAAAATAGCTGATTATGACACAGCGATATTATGATCTCTAGCATAATAATCTGCATGCTCAATAGCATGCAAGTAATTTGCTTCGACTAAAGAATTGAATTTTAATTCAAAAAAATTTAATATTGGATATATTTTGTCTGTGGTCATTAGGGCTGCAGTACATCACCCAGTTTGTGACATAATGTGGTTTTTACCATGGGGTTTGGTGATTTTCATCAACAGGTCCGTACTCCAATTAAACCAACTCTGTACAAAATCACATACTGATCGGTAAGATTTACTGTAGCACTTATGACTTTGGAGTTTGCTGTTTCCCCCTTTCTGTCGTGTGGCTTCTTAGCCATGATGTCAGTCAGGGCTCGGCAGCTTTTGACCATAGCGACTGCTTCATGATTCGTCTTAGCACACATAATAGTTAGTATATTCAGTGTTTTGGGATTTTTTGTGCTTCGGAAAGGTGACATAAAAATTGGAGTGATGACTCGCCCAACTGAATTTTACAGACAACTTAAGGCCAATTTTAGGGCGCAATTAGCAGAAAATAAATGACATAGAAGACTTTATGTGTTTTCACACATGGGCTTTTCTGTTGTATCAGTATTTAGGCAAAATCTGCCTTTTAAATTAACCTGTTTTTTTTTGGCTGTTCATAGCAATTATGGTCATGAAAAGGACAGAGACTCAGCAGAGAATCTTTTGCTTACTTTAGACATAAAACTGGGCCCGTTAAGTATTTTGAGGGGACATTTAGTTTGTACTACTACGTTGTAAAATTTAAGTGTGATTTAATTTGAATGACGAGTTGGGCTACGTCCAAAGTGGTTGTTCCGAGCTGTGCCTACAACTATTGTCAGCATGTTCCTACATGTACATAGTAGTAATTGTCAAAAACTTAGATAATAGACCAAGAATATAAGATATTCTGATGCAGCCATGTACTCATCGATACAACTCTTTCTGCTTGTTTAAAGTTTTGAGACTGCTGACTGCATGAGACTGCTGTTCTTTACTTTAAATCTTATAGTCATTTTCTTTCTCGATTTTAAAAATCAGATATCTTTTTAAACCAGAATTTTATGCAAATGTGAAAGTAGCAGACTCACAGAATGTTAAGTTCTGTTTTAAACATGCTTTATTTATATATTTTTTTTGTTTTTAGCAGATGTAGTTAATAAACACAATTTATCACTATAAGTAAACAAAAATACTCAAATTTATTATCGATATATTTATGTAAAAATGTAATTTTTAAATTGTTCCATAGTTGCTCTCATTGTAAAGTATTGCTGATTTTCCTTAACAGATCGAAAACTTTTAAGCAACTGATAAATGTTATAAAATGAATATTGCTCACATGTGATGTGTTAACAGTTGTATAACAACTATGTTCAATCTAAAGTATATATACCCAGACATATCTTTTGGGTTATGAAATATGGTATCGTATCTTTGTTTTAAATGCATTGTAGTCGAATCCTTTTCAAAGTCCCTCAAAGAATTGAAAAGTGGTGAAGTAGTTGGTATTGTAGGAATCAAGGCTTTAAGATATGAAGGTTCGCATGGTGATGATAGAAATATGATCAAGTTTATGGTGACACCAGGCAAAAAATATCTTTTGTGAGTTTGTGAGGTTCTGAAAAGAACCGGGAAAACTCAACATTTCAGACAGTATAATTTGCCTGTTGTCTGGAGACGTCAGGAGACGTTCATAAGGAAACATCCTGATGACTGGCAGAGTACTATCTGAAACATTAAGAATCCACGGTACTTTTCAGAACCTCACGAAAGAGTTTTGTTGCCTTGTTCCACCATAATCTTTAGTTTGTTAATCAAACCTTTAGCACCTAGGCTGGGTTCCTAGACTACTTTGAGCGAGTAGGGATATTGGCGTTTAGAGACCAGGCCCCAAACCGGCGTACAAGAAAATAGTGTACAAAATTTGCAAATGGACTTGCACTCTTACTTGAGTTGATAATACATGTACAATATATATACATTTTAGCATGGTAGTTTAACCATACTGAGAATCTGACCTACGTTATTTGAATAACGCTGTTTATGGTCTGGAGCATTAATGTTTTAAGATGGTTACATTGAGGGTTTTGGTTCAGCCTGTGGGTTAAAGTGCATGTGTCCTTGGGCAAGACACTTTGTCACGAAATGCTTCTTCTAACCCAGGAGCAACATGGGTACCTGTACCTGTGAGGGCACAGGAATAGTGTTTGTGATTAGTGAGCTTTATACTCTTAGAGCAGCTGAGGTGTGAGGAATGTTTTATGGGCCCGATGAACAGGGGTTATGATCTAAGGAATTTAGATCTTCAATCTCTTTTTTAAAACACTGCATAGTCCATTACTGATATAGTTTCATGGGTTTAATTCCTGATAGTTAAATTAAGCTTCTCGGCATACCTGCTGGACTCTGAAAAGGACTCAACTAGAACTCTAAAAAATTGTACCAACCAAATTATCTGAAATAATTACCAGCTGAAAGTTTAAGAAAAAAATTATAAATTGTCGCCATTTACCAGTTAATGTACTCAGATTGTCCTTGTTATTTCAAGCTTAAGAAAACCTTGGATTTGAATTTACTTCTGTTGATAAAGAAATAGTCAGTTTTCTTCAATGTTTGTTAAAGACAATCCAAGTTTCTTGAGTTTGGCATAGTTTGTAAATTTCTCTCATACATTAACATTCCTTATATTTTCACTACTTTGAAAAGTGTTTGTAGTTCACTGTCGGACAACAAAAATTATAAAGATGACTGTAATCATTATGCTGAGCAACATATCTTCAATCTCAGCATACAAATATGTATGTGCTTTGTAGCTCCAAGAAATTTCACAGAACTGCAAAGTAGAATATAATTATTGTTTTAATAGCAAAGTGGTTTTAATGCACACATTTACAGTGAACCAGTCAGAGTTAGCATGCACATGGTTGGTCATTTTGGCCGGTAACCATCTTTTCTTCAGAAGGTTTTTTTTTTTTGCGAAAACTGGTTAAAATCAATGTACATGTACATTTTGTTGGCCGATGTGAACTTGAGGAATCGCTGTTTCTAAAGGCATTTTCTCTATGTGATGGATTTAGTTTTCTGGTGTATTGTTTTTCCTTCGTTCTTTTTAAGCTCATCTTGTCATGTTGCAGCTTATTGTTCTTTGCTTGCATGTATTTGTATTATGAACAACACACTTTATGTGGATTTTTTTGCCTCATGCACTTTCATGTGACAACTGATGATGAAGTTGCCTCTGTTTCCCCTTTTGTCATGTTTGTGTTGAACTTCAAATTGGGAAAAGCTGAAATATGTAATGTTGAAATTATTGTTTAAATGCATGACACATCAAGATGCCATTCGTGATAATCAGATTTTAATTGAAAAAGGTTTAGAAAAAAATGTGGTGCTTTGTCCAGTGGCCTGTTCTTGTTGCTTTTTTTTTAATGTAAAACACAAATATATTATAGGGCTTGCGTCTATTTTATGTCAAAACATGCTGAATAAATGTTTGAAATGTTCAATTTTTGTCCAGTTCATTGTACTTCAGAAAGATGTTGGACTCTAGCTCCAATGACCATTGGCTCCCCCCCCCCCAAAAAAAAACCCCACCTTGTTTTAATTACAAATAATTTAACTCAAAATATAACATGAATTCAAATATAAAAAATATAAATTATTTAACAAAAGGTTTTTAAAAAGATTATCATTCCCTTTCCCTCCAGAGATTCATGAAATATTAATAAAAGAGAGAAAATGGAAAAAAAGGGGAGGATCGCCACAGCGTCACATGAGGAGTCCACCCTCGCACACAACCCAACCTCCCCCCCCCCCCCCCCAAAAAAAGGGGGGATGTTCTGGATCCGTCGTTGCATGAAGTGAGGCGAAAGTTTAGAAAATTTATGAAAAAAAACGAAAGTTAAGAGAACTCCCGTTGTTATGCAGTTTATCACTCACAATGCTGAATCGAGAGATCGATAAATCCGAAGCCTAAGCGAAACCGGGGTTTCGTAAAACCCATGTAAACAAGCGCAGTCTGTACCTGCCAATCAAATTGATTATTGTTCCACTTCCAACCAATAGCAGTCACTCTTCGACGCGGAGCGCGTGACCTCCCCAGCTGGTCGCATCTAGATATCTCTCCGCGTTTAAGAAAAAAACAGGTCGGGCTGTTTATAATAAAATCCGAAGCTATTTTTGTGATGAGCAACGAAATATTTGACTTTTTCTTCTTGAAGGTGTATAAAATAATAAAATTATATAAAAATCCTGTTGACGGTTTGCAGTTTCGTCACATTCATTAGTAAAATCCGGCCGCGAATGAACACATCTATAAGTTTCGACATTTCCGTGTAAAATGCATACATAGCCTTATCACTCCCTGGCGGCTGCTTTCCGTGGTAAGCGCGAGCAAATTTGAAGTAATTGTTCTCAGAATCCGGAACGAATAGCTGGCACTCGTCTTTTGTCCACAAAAATGTCATTTTTTGGCGGATTCTTTGAATGTTCAAAAGTACAAATTCAACTTACTCGAAGGAAACAATTTGTGCTAAACGTCAACATCGAGTCGTGGACTTAAGTGAGGCATTTCTGCAGGAGAGAGACGTTTCAAAATGGGTCTGCGGGAGAGACGACCTCGCAGACGGGTCCGTGTCACTGTTAGCGGCCCCCGAGTTTCCATGCTGCCGCGGCCTCTTTGAAAATTGTCGTAGACCTTCTCCCAGTCCTACCACTACGTTCTCGGACTTCTGTCCATGGAATTTACGTGAGTGAATGTTTAATTGGAACAGAAACATTAACTGAAATTGTAAGCAAATTTTGTGGAAAAATAGCTGAAGCTTCACCGAAATTTGTGGCAAAATAACTGAACTGTAGCGAACTTTGTGGAAAATGAACCAAACTGTCACAAACCCAACTCAGCAGTGGTTTTGCCTGCAATAAATTCAAGCCAAAGAGCGACGAACACTTGAAGAACTGAACTGTTGTTTTCACGGAACTGAAACGGACACAAGCATTGAGCTCTGAAGAGAAAAATTATGCGAAACAACAACTCCAACTCATGTGTCATGGATTTATATTGCCTATGAAAGTTGTCTGTGGAATTTGTGGAATTATCTGAGCGATGATAAATGTTTGTGGTTTAGAATGCGACATTCGGTAAGTCAAAGACAATTTCGGAGGTAAGTAAAAACCTTTTTAAAAAACCCTTTTTTTTTTTTTTTTTTTTTTTTTTTTAAATAACTGTGTATCATATCCATGCTTGGTCTTCCATTTATAAAAACTGAATAACCTACGCTTATTTACAATATTATATTTACATTTTGAATGTCTAACTTTGCATTTGATAATTGGTTTGTATAAAGTTTGAAAATTTACCCCGAAATGCCCCTCTGCATGTCCTGCGCTTAAAAATCTTCTTCTTTTTTTAGACAGCTGTTTATGTTGTTGTCAACATGGCTCAGATTTTTTTTTAATTTTTCCTCTGGTATTGTCTGAGGTGAATTGAAAGTAAGGGTATATATTTGGAAGTAAAATCACCTGTGAATTCTTCTGAAGAATGCCTTTGTTATTAGCAAAATGTAGACATTGAAACCTTCTTGCTCAAAGTTTTCTTGGGGTAAAATGTTTTGTTTTTTTGTAGCCAAATGTAATGTTTTTGTCAACACGACTTCATCATGGTATTTCCCCCAAATTGGCCTCAAATTTAACACATTTGGTAGTAAAAGGAATTAGCACCTGCAAATTCCTCTTAAGAATGTCTCCAAAAATAGAACAATGTTGACCTGTGGGCCTCTTTTTCCTAGTACGAGTTTGCTGTATGAGTAAAATTTATTTTGCAGCAATTGCAATGTTCTTATCAACATGACTCAAGGTATAACCCCAAATTTGCCCATCTTTTGCATGCTAAAATTAACTGGCTCTGAGCTTAAAATGCTTATTTTCTGTAGGCAAATGTATTGGTTTCTGTCAGCGTGACTCAAAGTATTACTCTGGGTTGCCCCTCTTTCGTTTGGTAAAATTACATATAACTGAATCTGAGCTTGAAAAAGCTATTTTTGTTTGTAGTCAAGTGTAATGCTCTTTTTAACAATTCTCAAGGTATTTGCCCCTCTTTCGGTTGCTAAAATTAGCTGGCTCAGAGCTTCAAAAATCTATTTTTTTTTTAACCATGTGTAATGTTCTAATCAACCTGACTAGACTCGAGGTATTGATTTTTCCTCTCTGGTATTGTCTGAAGTGAGTTGAAGGGTATATTCAATTTGAAAGAATTATCACCTGTGAATTCCTTATAAAAGGAATGTCTCCGAACATGGAACAATGCAGACCTGGCCCAGCACGTAGTAAAAAAATGTTTGACCTCTGTACCTCCCATCGGCACGTGGCAGCGGAGGTCGCAGTCACGCACACCCATTGTTCTTGGGGTAGAGTTATGAGGCAGACACGCTCCTATTGTCTGGACTTTGCATGCGTTTCTGGAATATTGACAGCTGCTCCACGTGTGTATCAAGCAAGATGTTGACAAACTGCCATCAGGTCTAACATCGTGAATGTTGTGAACAAATAAATCAATCAAATTTGTACATTAAATCGTTAATCTTCTTCATGATTATCTTCCCCATGAAAGGAAAGGCTTAGTAAGAATAATTCTCAAGTAATGTGATATTTTCTGAAGCACGAGAAGCTTCCATGTCTCCTTCAAGATAATGCTCTTCTTCACTACGTGCACTTTAAACAGAGTTGCAAGAAACGTGCACTTTAAACAAAGTTGCAAGAAATGGACTGTAGTCTCCTGCAAATTCGCTAGAATTCTCCTTTTGTTCTTTCATCAACATGAGAAAAACTGTTGCCTCAGTACCTTACTTGTGGACCAATTAGGAGTGAGAGTGGTCTATAAACGTGTGTTTTAATCTCCTTCAGAAAAAAAATTCTCTTCGTCGAACACTTCAGGTCTTGATAAAAAGCAGAGAGATATGACATTAAGGAGTTCAACTTGATTCTCCTTCAAGTTTCCATCATGTCTTCATCTTCAATGTAAACTGTTTAAGAACATCAAGTGCTAGCTGTCCCAAGATAATGTTTTGTCGACCAACCAAAGGAGTGCGATTGATTCTGTTTGTCATGGAAGGGGCAGAGTCATAATGTATATTCTCAACCTCATTTTGTCAAAGATAAATAAAGTATAAACAAATGAAACAGGCATTTTTAAAACATAAATTAAAAATTTTTTTTTTTAAGTCTGGCACCTTATACGACAGTTAAAATGGAATTTGTATAATTTATGCATAAACATGTAATTATAATCGTTATTCAAGTAATCATTATGATATAAAAACATCTAGGCCGGGGGATGTAGGGGAAATAAACTCGCTGTGCGGCACGGGCGAATGCATAGCGTATTAGGCATGCGCTTGCGCATAGGTGAGTGGCCGATTATTGAGGTGGTCTGTGGGCGGTGCATGTTGCTGTGAGTCATGAGTGAGGTAAACAATGAGTGAATTAATGAATGAGTGACACATGATTTATTGGGTGAGAGATGTGTTGATAATATTAGCCGTTTCCGTCACAGATCGTAAACGAGTATTCGGAATCGGAAACGCGACTATCGGTGACTGAGTAGGCCTACTCAGTATTCGGTTTCGGTGTACCTCGGCGGTACCAGAGTAGTATCGATTCGATCAATCGATTCGATACTATTATTTGAGTCAGTGTCTGAATACTAATGAGCCAATGAGATGTGTAGTTATGAGTCAGTTGAGTGAATGATGAGTGGTTAGAGAATGGGAGTATCGATTCGAACTCTCGATTCGGTACTGAGTCTCGAGTCTTAAGAATTTGTGAGCCTGAGTACTGGTGAGCCAATTAAATGTGTAATCGTATGTTGGTGAGTAGCGAATGATGAGTGGTGGGTTGTGAGAAGTGAGAGTATCGATTCGAGCACTCGATTCGATACCGTGACCCAGGTCTTGTAAGAAAACGCCAGTGACTGAGATGAGAGCATCGATTGCGTGTCGAGTCTGTATGCAAGTGTGATTTTGAATATCACGCGCCTGAGAGATGTGTAAGTTGTAGGTTGGTGAGTAGTGATTGTGATATCGAAGTGGTGAGTGGTGAAGAAGTGAGTGAGGGAACAACCGATACATGCATGCACATGCATTCACGCGATGCAATACACATCATGCGATGCAGCACAGTTCGCGTGGCAGCCCGAAGCTAGGGCTAGGTGGGGGGGGGGGGTGAATTTACCAGGGTGATACCATTAATGTTACTCAAAATAATAGTCTTGAATAAATGTATAAAATGAAAAAGTAAAGTTAAATAGTTTAGCTTTTTAATAATAATATAAAACCGAAACATGTCAAACTTTGTGTGTTTGGGGGCGGGGGCTGCAAGCTTGTGATTGTAATGATATTCCATTGTTCGGTGAATCTTTTAACGGTCGAAGTCTTTGAGAATTATAGAGACTTTTCTGTCTGTTGTACAAGAATGGCAACATGAACAAGAGTACCTTCACAATATGGACGTT